CCTTACAAGAAGAAGGTAGAAGTCAAAACCGCAAATACAGGAATCATGCAAACACCTGAAGAATATATGGACGTAATCCACAAGAATGAGCATTATCTTGAGATTGGGTCATGTTACCTAATCAACATGATATTTTGAAAAATAATGAGAAAACGATTTCCATAGTTTCTCATTTTATCTTTTCTAAAATGAAATTATTGAAAAGTAAGAAAACGATTTTCTTAGTTTTTTTTTACTTAGTAAACTATTTCCAAACAGCATTATCTTGAGATTGGGGCATGTTACCCAATCAACATGTTATTTTGAAAAATAATGAGAAAACGATTTTCCATAGTTTCTCATTCAATCTTTTCTGAAAATGAAATTGTTGAAAAGTAAGAAAACGATTTCCATAGTATCTTACTTAGTAAACTATTTCCCACATCCATAAGACCTACAGTGCAGGATGTTTTCAAATAGAACTTTATCTCACTTGAGATTGTTTTTCTTAAAACAAAATTTATCTCGCTTGAGACAGTTTCACTCGAAACAGAACTTTATCTCACTTGAGATTGTTTTTCTTAAAACAAAATTTGTCTCGCTTGAGACAGTTTCACTCGAAACAGAACTTTATCTCACTTGAGATTGTTTTTCTTAAAACAAAATTTGTCTCGCTTGAGACAGTTTCACTCGAAACAGAACTTTATCTCACTTGAGATTGTTTTTCTTAAAACATAATTTGTCTCGCTTGAGACAGTTTCACTCGAAACAGAACTTTATCTCACTTGAGATTGTTTTTCTTAAAACAAAATTTGTCTCGCTTGAGACAGTTTCACTCGAAACATAACTTTATCTCACTTGAGATTGTTTTTCTTAAAAAAAAATTGTCTCGCTTGAGACAGTTTCACTCGAAACAGAACTTTATCTCACTTGAGATTGTTTTTCTTAAAACAAAATTTGTCTCGCTTGAGACAGTTTCACTCGAAACAGAACTTTATCTCACTTGAGATTGTTTTTCTTAAAACAAATTTTGTCTCGCTTGAGACAGTTTCACTTGAAACAAAAATTTATCTCACTTGAGATTGTTTTTCTTAAAACAAAGATTTGTCTCGCTTAAGACAGTTATTTCGAGTTATTTTGAAATGGGGCATGTTACCCAATCAACAAGTTATTTTGAAAAAGAATGAGAAAACGATTTTCCATAGTTTCTCATTCAATCTTTTCTGAAAATGAAATTGTTGAATAGTAAGAAAACGATTTCCATAGTTTCTTACTTAGTAAACTATTTCCCATATCTGTAAGTCCTACAGTGCACGATGTTTCCAAAAAGCCTTCAGAAGCTTTTTGATGTTTTCAAAACCTCAGGGCCATCTATAAGTCCTACAGTGCATGATGTTTTCAATATTTCTATCCTATTCAAAAGAAGCCAAATGAAAAAATTATTATTTTTTCGTCTTTGCTCTATTCTTGTTAACACAAGAATGAGCAAAGAGGGGCAGCTGTAAACATCAATTTTTTTCATTTTATTATTATTATTAAAATTATCATTATTATTAATATTATACATTATATCTTATTATTATTATTAAATAATTACATTACAAGACCCAACTCAGGCCCGGTTTACAAGCCCAAACATGGAGGCCCGATCAGCCGACTGGCCCAGCTAAACCCTAAACCTAATTTAGGGTTTGTATCATCTCTAGCCGCCTCAACATCACAGCCGTTGGATCTCTCAGATCCAATGGTTCATAGGAGGTCCAACATGATGCAATTAGGGTTTTCAAACCCTAGCTCCCAGCCGCCGCTTCCAGTAAATTCCAGCCGCCCAACGACGTTCCAACCGCCGCCTTGGACCAAAGGAACTACGGTCGCCTCTGTTATTTCCAAGCCGACGTTCCAGCTTCTGCCACGTCCCATCGAAGCCTCCAGAAGCGCCTCATCATCGCCCCACGTCGAGCTCTATGGTGAGTCACCACCATAGCTATGGTGACTCACCGAGAAACCTTTCTGTGACCGGTCCGAGGAGCGTTTCGTCGAGGCTATAAAAGCCTCGACTCACCTGCAAAAAAAAGAAAGAAAGAGAGGAAGAGAGGAGACAGAAACTAGAAAGGAGGAGACAAGAAAGACACACAGACAGAAAGCAACGAAAAATAACCGAGAGAAGTGTGAAGAGACTTACCAAGCGGCGTCGGAAACCAAACGTCGTCAAACCGCCGTTTAATCGAAGGTAAAAAAAACCCTCGGTTTATTTTAGATCTAGGGTTATCAGAGTGTTATTAGGAAAATCTTCGCCGGAAACGGAGACTGGTTTTCTTCTCCGGTGAAGGAAAATGAGAGCTTCTAAACCAGAAAAATGAAATAATAGCCCAATGAGGGCCGGCCGTTTGGGTATTAATACCCTCATCAAAACGACGCCGTTTTGATGAGGGGTACCTGTGTAATTTCGCGTGTGAAAAATCCTTTCTGCAGTTATCCCAGTTTATAATCATTGCAATTTAGTCACTGAAATTGATTTCTGATTATTTTAGTTTAGTCTTCTAATCTTATTTTATTATGTTTCAGTCCATATCAGTATATATATCTTTAGGGTAAATAATAAATTTAGTCCCTTAGGTTTTAATAATTATTATTTTAATCACTGATTAATTAATTAGGTTAAATTATACTATTAACCATTATCTTTCATAATATTTCGAATTATTATCTTTATTTTTAATACTTTATATTTAGTTTTATAATTTTAATTTCTTTTATTTTGATCATTATTTAATTACAATATTATTTTGTTATGACTTTTATATTTTAATTATGGCTTTAATGATTATTTTATTATTATCTTAGTGAGTCTTATAAATATATTTATATATATTTGTTTAAATTAAATATTATAAAAATTATAATTTATTTTTATTTAAATCATTTTTATGAAAAATTATTACATTTTTAATATTTATTTTATTTATTAATATCGAAAAAAAGAGCTATCTTAAAGCACCTAGAAGTCCTTTTCTGATATTCTTAAAATAAATAAATACCCTGTTTTTATAAATTATATATTAATTATTTTTAGAAAAATATTTTTTTAGTTATTTATTTATATCAAAGAAAAGAACTGTCTTAAGGCAACTAAAAGTCCTTTTCTGATATTTCTAAGTAAATAAATATCTTATTTATAAAAATAAAGATATGTATATATTAATATATCTTCTTAAAATTACATTAATAAAATTGAAATAACATGATTATGAATTAAATATATTTTTGAATTTTTAAAATTTTTAATAATAGAGACAATTTATAATTAAAAAGTACCAATTTTGAGCGTTGTAGGGGTGCTAATCCTTCCCTAAACGTAACCGACCACGAATCTTTTTTTATTATTAAAAAGAACGAATTTTTAATTAAAACGCAGACTAGTTTATCTTTTAAATGATGTTTTCTTAAAAACTCTTTTAAAAGATGATTTTTTAGGTATTCGACCTACCTAACCCAAAAGACCGATGGCGACTCCCAAAATATTTTTTAAAAAATCAAAATCATTAATTTATTCACATCATTTCTCCCGCCAAGTAAAAATTCGTGCCCGGACGAAAATCGATTACGACACTTAGGGTTTTACATACCAAAGAACCTTCAGTCTCCTATTGTGAAGCTCGACCGTCAACCTAAGACGTTAAGTCGTGCATTCAGTCCACGCATAAAGCAACCCCATCACGGTTGACAGGCTTTCAATCAAAATTCATTTACCTGTATCGGAATCATACACCTCTGCGGTGGAGTGTCTTTTGCCATCAAATCCGTACCCTCCAACAACATACACCATGCACAGCATACTATGTTTACGTAATCCACATAATCATTTCTCAAAGAATCATCACAAGCTTATTAAAAGGTTTAGACCTTACACTAAGAAAAATGTAAAGGACATTAGTCCAAATGCATCATTTGTCCAAAAGCAACCTGGAAGGTATTATTTGCTAAACTGGAAGGTGTTATCTGCTTCGGTACCATGGCACGCACAGCATATAACACACGTCTTCTAAGATAGCATGATCAAGGCTTTACTCAGCCGCTAGAACAACATTTACCTGCCAATTTATCCCATCGTTTTACGATTACCATTTCAGGTAGCAAGGAAATGTCTTATGTTTTTATTAGGTGAGCAAAATTTGATTCGACTCATAAAACCGATATTTTGACTCGATTCGACTCGATAAAACTCGACTCAAAATTTTATAAATTCAACTCGACTCGAAAAAAAATTAAATTTGAGTCGAGTTACAAAATAGAACTCGAATAATAACTCGAAATTTTTAGTAATTAGTGGATTTGTTTTCAAGTTTGAGTTGAGTTCATCAACTTTGTATGATACATGCATATCATATATGAGAAAATATGAAGATATATATATATATATATATATATATATGAATTGTAAATGGTTAATTGATTATAGAAAACCATTTAAATTAGAATCAAATAATACAATAATATTATAAATATTTACAATTAAATTTAAACAGAAACACGAACAATCAACTCGACTCAAAAAATTCAAAAAAAAAATTGACTAATAGAATAGGACTCACCAACTCGAATAACTTTAAATTTTTTGACTCAACTCGGTCGAACGCTAACCCCTAGTTACATGCTTCTTAAATATTCACATCCAAGTTCCAACACTACATATTCAGATCTAAATATGAGTATGATTCTATGTATATGTGAAGATAAAAAGAAAAGTTCAAAAATAAATTAATCCATATAAAAAACATACCATACCCAACACTCACCCAAGCCCAAATGACAAAGATGGTCACTAAAATTTCATGGCCACTTAAAACTTACGAAAATCGCAGCAGGTTTAAAGAATATGATGCACAGCATACTATACTTACATGGACATAACTTGTCCTAACAAAAACTAATCAGTGTTTCTGCATTCCATAACACAAGCTTTTTCCTTAAAACCAATCTCTACTACAAATATTTTCTTGTTGACTTTGATTCTTTGTCCTAGGCCACTGCCAAAGTTAACAAAGCACAACCCAACACTACACAAAATCAATGAAAACTAAATCCAAAACCAAGAATAAAAAGAAATTCCTGTCTTCATTTCCATTATACCATATCAGAAAAACAAGAATGAAATATATTAGTATTGTCAAGGAGGAGAAAGCAGTGCATAAAAAGAATACTCTTCCATTAATTGTTTCATAGTTCAAAAAATTTGGGGAAATCAAGTAGACAATTGTATCACTCAAAGCACATAAATGAAGAAAACACCCATTCAGTCTCCTAGAAAACCCTAATGGTGCTAAGATCAAATTAAATGACCTTACTTTTTGGTGCCTTTCTTTTTTCGAACTCACAGCCACCTGTGGCTTGGGATGCTTCTCAGCTTCACTTGGATCCAACCAATTGAGTGGGTGGCGGTTGAACAAAGGCCAATTTGGAACCGTAATCAATGCCGTGAGAGCAACACCACCAGCATAAACGATCATCATCATCCGAAACGATCCCAATACATAACCTGCAACAAATGCAATCACCGCAAACACCAACAGCATTATCTGCATTATCTGTTCCACTAACTTTTGTCCTTGCCAATCCATCTGCAATACAATTCAACAACCATAAACCAAACTCTTAAGTAACCACAACAGCAATCCCTAAAACGCTTAGAAAAACTATGAATATAAGCCCATCCATCCTTATAACTGCCACCCACCAGTAAAATGATATAAGTTTTTTAGCTTTGTCGGTAAAAACACTAATTGTTACTTATTTTATTTCCGATTCTGCTACTACAGCAGGCATCCATCACTATTATATGCAAAATTTTCCTTGCAAATGAATCTTAATCCCCCAAATCGGTTCCTCTAAGTTCCATTTTTGATAAACCCTAGAGAACATTGACTGTGACTTGGGAGCAAAGATCGCTGAATCAAAACCCTAGAAGATGTTCGCTAGCGTGAAATTAGAAAGGAATAAAAAAACCTTAAAGCTATCGAAGTTAATTGTTCAATGTAATAATCAAAATCAATTGTTATCAGAAGATAGGAAATCAAGAAATAAAAATGGATGGCCAAAATATTAAGGCCATATTTGGTCTCAGAGAAAATAAATTTTTAATCATCCTATACTTCATACCAGGAATGCCCATTCCTTTCATTTTCCTAGCAATTCTAAAATTTCGATCCACAAGCAAAAAACAAAATCAATTCAAAAAAATTAAAGACGAGGGGTAAAAGGACGAATCAATTACAAAATATAAACTTTAGAATTTCAATTTTACAATCGAATGAGCGAGCAAAAAAAAAGGTAAAAACTTACCGGGAAGTGCAGTGTGGGAGCGAAGAGATGTCTGAAAGTTGGTCAGTAACGAGGAAGAAAGAAGAGAATAAACGAGAGAGGAAATTACAGATTCTTAAATATATTGGGAAAGGTGCGAACAAAACTCATTTGACTCGAAAATTTAAAATATTTTTTAATTTTGAATTATTTAAATTGATTTATTCGAATCACTAGAAAAAAACTAAAATCGATCTTTACTGTAATACTATAAATAATTATAATAAAAATAACATAAAAATTTAAATATTTAGATTCAAATTTCTTATAATCAATTTAAAAAAATTCAAATTTAATTAAAATTATAAAATACAACTCATTAACTTGAATTTTTTTTGGATTGGACTTGATTGAATACTTATCTCTGAGTTACAAACCGATAATTCGTGGGCCCATGATCCAAAGCAAGAACGGATGTTGTAGCCGTTTGATCCATAACGTACTTGCATCTTAATTTAATTATAGCTGGTTTTTTTTTTCTTGTCTTGTATGTTGGATGATAAACTACAACATTAGCCATTAATCAATTGATTCGTATATTTTTTTATGTTGTCCTTTAATTTTAAGGTTTTGATTTGATTAATTTTAACCGACTCGGGTTATACATCTAGTTTTAGTATGTGAGTCTCTCAGCAGTGATTTTCTACATACACAATGACTCAAACATGAGACTTTACTTAGACAATATCAAACTACTTACCACTTAAACCAACTACATTAGTTAATGATTCATATTTTATGTTATGAATTACAGAGAAAAGAAAAATATGACAAAAATAAGCGGAATGAATATTACTAAAAGGTTAAAGATAAATAAAATTTAAAATGAAATTGAATAAAGTGACATGATTTGGTTCAATCATTATTTATTTAATATATACGAGAGATCATGAATTAATTTAATGATTATTCTTTTAACATCTTTATTTGCATCTATAAATATATGGAACACAAATATTTCAACCTAAAAAATTAATCATCACGAACCAAGTGGTATTAATGGTAAAAGAACAGTTATCATTCCTTGAGACTCGAGTTCTAGCATCGAAAATGTTAGGGTTTGAGAGTTCAGTGTTAAGAGGTTGAGAGTTATCTTAGAACATATATTACATTATACTTACCTTATATTAATAAAAAAAATTACATGATATATGTTATTAACCCTCCTCTCGCTAAAATATTAAAACTTTGACTCAAGGAGGAAACACCACTGGACTTTCAGGACTTTTTATCTGCCAACTGAGTTCAGGCTCAAAGGAAACAAAGATTTTGTCAGCTTAATTACAAAAGCAAAAGTATGGTTTCCATTCATTAAAGAAATTTATATTTGATCTTCGTTATTCAAACTCTAGTGAATGTCAAATATAGCTGCAAAGTTTTAATATACCTCGAATATGGATGTCGAACACAAATCCTTTGAAACAACTGAAAGAACCAGGTGGTTTAATTAAATTACCTTTTTCTTGACAGGCTCTTCCTTCTCAGCGACGTAAGCAACTCAATGTGGCATGGAGAAGACACGTAAGCTGGAAAAAAGAATAATACCATTAAAATATAAGAAAACAATATGTGCAACCATTAAGTGCATGATTCAAAAACATACGGTTGATTCTTCCATGAGCACGGTATGTACGACTCCTCTGCATCTGAGCCTGGTTTACTTAGATGTGAGAAATATAGAGTGCATCGACATCCAAACCCTTTAACCAGTGAAATTAATTTCATGTTGTTAGGAAACGAGAACAAAGCTGCCAGAAGCTTAATCCCCAAAGTAGGCATACCTCAGCATTACTCTCGGCATTCTTCAGAAAATCCAGAATGAACTTGGCAGATTTTACAGGCCAGCAACCTTGTCTGTTCTTTGCCTGAGTTTTATGTCCAACACCACGGTAAAGCATCGAAAGGGTATGGCCTGCTTGTGGGCCCTAACATCCTCCAATACCTCATAGCCTTAACCAAAGGTAACTTTCTTATGGAAAATGTTGTCTCCCTCATGTTCTATAGAACAATAAAACCAAATGATACTCATTATTGACCACAAACAAGAGAAAAAACACAACATAAGAAAACCAAAATAAGATGGGGAACACATCATGAAACCAAGAGCATAAGAGTTCACAAAACCAACTAGTATTTAGACTCCCCAAATGTTGAAGAATCAAAAAAGAAAACGAAAAACACAAGAATTTTAACGAGATTCGACAATGTGCTTACGTCCTTGGTGCCTAGGCAGCGCTAGAAGTTTTATTCAATGTCTCATAGGTTTAGGTTACATCTCTATTTATAATAAAAAACCTGGTACATAATTACATAATTAACCTTGTACCGTACCCCTCCGCTCCATCCCCTGTCCTCTTTACCGATATATTTGTGAGACATACCTAACACCAAAGATCAAATGAAAAACTCATTCCCGTGTCATAATGTTGAAATGGGTTGAATTCAATTGTATTTTTCATAGAAAAGTTACATTGATATCTATACAAGCAGTAGACTTAACCCAGGAAACTTCTAAACTAGGAAACTAACTAATTCTAGGGAAAACTAATCCTTTAAAGTTAAGGATTATAGATACTAAGATCGTATCTCCTAGTTAGTTTCACACAATCTTCCTAATTTAGGAAGCGGCTTCTTGACACTCTCCCTCAAGCTGGGAAGTAGATCTCATTCGTTCTCAGCTTGCTTGCTAGTTTCTGAAAAATACTTCTCAGGTAATCCCTTGGTAAGTATATATGCTAGTTGATCACCAGTGGATACATAAAGAGTACAAATTAGGCCACTGTCAAGTTTTTCTTTTATGAAATGTAAGCCCAATTCAATGTGCTTCGTTCTGTCATGTTGAACCAGATTATGTGTGGTGTTGATTACAGATTTCTTATCACAATACAACTTCATTGGACCATCCCACTTGACCTTCAAATCTTCCAAAATGATTTTCATCCATAACAACTCACAAACTCCAATAGCCATTGCCCTAAATTTAACTTATACATTGGATCTAGCCATAACATTTTGTTTTTTCCTCATCCAAGTCACAAGGTTTCCACTCAAGAAAGTGTAGTAACCCGGGGTTGACCTTCTATCAACTATGGACCCTGTATAGTATGCATCAGTATATGCTCCTAAATTTAGTTTTTCCCTCTTTTTAGGTAAAATTACTTTACCTGGTTCCCTTTAAGTACTATAAGATTTGTGTTATATCCCTTAGATGTGATTCTTTAGGGTTGTGGATGAATTGACTTACAACACCAACTGCATAGGTAATATCCGATTTGGTATGTGATAAGTAGATAAGTTTTTCCACAAGCCTTTGATAGGAGCTTCTGTCAATTGTTGCATCCTATGTTGTATGTCCAAGTCTGTAATTAACCTCTATAGGCGTCTTTGTTGGTTTGCATCCCAATTTGCCAATCTCTGTCAACAAATCTATGATATGTTTTTGTTGAGAAATAAAGATCCCTTACCGAGAATATATCACTTCAATACCAAGGAAGTATTTTAGTCTGTCGAGCTCTTTGACTTTAAACTCCTTTACTAAACACTTCTCTAAATTATCTATGTAACACCCTAAAAACCAAGTTAATAGTTTCGGGTCTTATTGTTTGGTTTCGAGTAATTACTTAAGGCTAAATTAAATCAATTGAGTTAAAGATGAGAGGATTGGGCTTATAAGAAGCCCACAATGTGATAAAAATGACATTTTTTATTTGGGCTTAAAAGAAGAAAGACTAAGGAAGCAATTTTACCATGGTTTGAAAACAAGGCTGAATAACAATTAAGAAGGATGATGTAAATGGGAAGAGAAAGGTGAAACTCTTATCCTCATTTTCTTCACCTTTTGTCTTCTTCTACTCCTAACCATTGCTTTTTTCCTCCTCACTTGAACATCAAAGGTGAGAACCTTGTAGTCCTACACAACTAATCCAGACTTAATAAGGTAAGAAAGTCAATCCTCATCTCTAGAGCCCCATTTCTAGCTAAGAATCATAAGGTTTGGGTATGGTGACATGATACGTGATTTTGAGAGGTTTAAGCTCTAAGGCTTGAAAATGATTCTAAGTTGTTTCCAAGAGTTTAGAAGTGTGTTTACAACCTTTTCGAGGTATAACGAGTTTGTAATTCCTTTGTTTTGTTTGGTTAGTGAGAGAAGAGAGAGAGTGCTCAAAGGAAAAGAACAAAGACAAGTTGGTGCTGGGGTGATCTTTGGAGCCTTCTTTCATCATCTAGAGCTAAGGTAACACACAAATAACTTCTCTCTATTGCTTCTAGACCATGAAACCATATTTTTATTGCTTGTTGTATTCATTGTATGCATAGTGGGTTTTAATGGTAGCATGTTCGATTGATGCTTTTGTTGTGTTAAAATGCCCTTTATGATGTTAAAACACTCCATAAAGCTTAACAAACACTTAGTATTCTTTAAAGGGCTTGTGAAGAGCCTTAAGATGCCATATACGTGCCTAAACATGGCACCCAGGTCCATTAACATCGGTATTGTAAGAACAGTACCAATATTGTTCTTCGTATAAGGTAAAAATAGAGCAAATTTGAGGGTGAGTATCGATACCCCTTTAAGGAGTATCGATACTTGGGGTTCGATATCGAAACTCGGAGGATGGTATCGATACTAGTGATGATTTAAGGATTCCAAAATACAATTTTGGTATCGATACTCATTAGAGTATCAATACCAATGAGTGAGTATCGATACTCTCCATTAGGGTATTGATACTGGGGAATTTAATTGAAACATCGAAGCTAAAACTGGTATCAATACTAAGGGAAATATTGATATTGACAGGCTCAGTATCGGTACTAATGTCCTATTTTGGGTATAAACCTTTGCAAATTTTGTAAGCTTAATAAGGGGGTTATGAGGGCATCGAGGCTTCTTAAATTAGGCTACAAGTGAGAATAATACTCAAAATCTTTATGAACAAAAACATTAAATTATGTGGCATAAAATTTTCCTTTGTTTAATAATTGGGAAAAAATGAGGACAACTGGGTTACTTGAGCGTATGCATGTATTATTAGAAAATGTAAATAAAGATATTTGAATTCTCTTCCCTAGTGTTACGAAACTTTTGTACCAGTGCGAATTCACTTTTGTACCAAAAACTTTAGTATTAGTGTTAAGGCACTTCCATGATTTAATGGAAAACCCCATTATGATTTATATGATGTATTGTACACATCCTTATGTTATGATCTATACGTAATGCATTTCACTACGACATGACTTAACTTGTTAAGGATTCATAATGGTTGGATGTATGTAGTATAGTGAAGTTGTTTATGTGGCACTGAGCTCGTAGCTCAGCGTTCATAATTATTTCTGTTCGCAGGTTAGTAGGTATCGAATATCGGGACCCTATCGCCAGACAGTCAAATTCCAGATATCAACAGTGACAGAGTATGCTTTGATTATTTTAATGGGCATGTATTTTATAGACCCTTTTGTATTCGAATCATAACTTTGGATTATTGTATTTTGGGAGCTACCCGATTTTGTAAACTTAACTATTATTATCTCGTTTGTTTAAACTTAATGATTTATGAATTAAAAATAGAATGTTTTGAAGAAAATTTTTTGGGTTAGTCACTTCGTTGGTCTCGTGTAATGCCCAAACCCATCGAGTTTTGTTTTAATCGGATTTGGGTATTATATTTACTGGTATCAGAGTGTCATGTTCATTCGTTCCTAGGACCCATGGGTTATAGTCAATAAGAGTCAGTGATTTACATGCCTCTTGAGTGTTAGTGTACTTGGTTATCTGAAAATGGCGATAATAACTCCCTTCTTTAAACCTTGTAGGTTATGATCGACGACTCAGCTCCCAGCCAGGATGACATAATAAGAGTCCTGATTCACTCGCCGGAGATATTGATGAGAGTACGTCCCGAACATCTATGACAGGGATGTTTCATAAGGCACAGGGATAGATGGGGTTATCTTCTTCAGGGATCTCACTTAAGCATTTAAGAATATTGTTCGAGCTATTCCGAGAGCACCCGTTGTACCTACCCCACCCACAGCACCTTAGGAGTCCCCTGTAGAGCGACTCCAAAGCTACAATACCATAGACTTTTATGGTTTGAGAGATAATGATCCGATAGCCACCAATCAGTGGCTCCGTGAGACTCTTCGCACCTTGAGACAGCTGTACTTTACCCCGAAGGGTAAGCTCGAGTACTTCACCACTCTGCTGAAGGGTGATGCCATCGACGGGTGGGAGACAGTCGAGCTAGCTTTAGAGCCTGAGAGGCTGACTTGGGAGCTTTTCCTAGAAGAGTTCCGACAGAAACATATTGGGGAGCCGTATGCAGATAATTTGAGGGATTAGTTCACCAATCTCGTCTAGGGGGCCTATCAATGATAGAGTATGAGTATGACTTCCTTTATCTGAGTCGTTATATGCCCAAATTAGTGGCGATAAACTTCATTATTCTCAATCATAGCCCCTCTTCTTCCTTCCTCAGCACGAATAATTGCAATCATTTTATTTAGTGATGAATGATCCTCTTTTCTAAGAATTTGGACTCTTACTACATCAAATTCAACGTTTAGTCTAGCAAGAAAGTCATATATTTGATCTTTTTCGACAAACCTTTTCAGAAGTGTTACATCTTCACTGCATCTCATCTGAATGCATTGGTAGTGATCCATCTCTTGCCAAAGGCTCTGCAGCAGATTGGAATATGCTATGACCGATTTGCTTCCTTCTTGGTAATTGAAATCCTAGTCTTGATTTCATAGATCTAGGCAACCTCTCAAACCTTTGAATAAGTATGTTTCATAGCCTCCCATATTTTTTAGATTGTGTTAAGAAACATGCATGCATGACTAATTTCTAGCATCAGGGAGTTCCATAACCAAGACATTACCATTGAGTCTTGTTCATCACAAGCATCAAACATAGGATCCCCCTCTTTAGGTCCACTTTCGAGTAGGTGACTCAACTTTCGTCTCCCCTTTAAGAATGTACGAACCAGTTGAAACCACTTTAGGTAATTCTTTCCATTTAATCTGTAGGCTGCTTGTATATTCTGCAAGTTTCTTGTTGGGTTTGAGTGATTCCCTTCATTCACTAAAACTTCTGGAGTAGTCTCACTGTTGTTGATTTCAATGACTTCAACCATATTCTTCTCGAATTAACATTACACACTTGAGAAGGGATTGAGAACAATAAGAGATTGTTAAAAAAGGAATAATAAGGTCCTATAAATGAGTTAAAAAATCTTTGATACCATGTTAAAGTGGGTTGAATTCAATTGTATATTTCATAGAAACTTTTCTAGGGAAAACATTCCCTTAAAGTTAGGGATTATAGATACTAAGATATTTATAGTATCTTTTAGTTAATTTCACACAATCTTCCAAATTTAAGAAGATGCTTTCTTACACAACTAATCCCAAAACTATGTTCCTTTCAAAATATTAGAAGATGTGGCCTCATTTATTGAACTTTCAGCCATTCATTTATCAAGAGAGTCCAAAGGTTCACCTAATAATGATGCAGGTAATTTCCCTAAAGTTCAAGAGTCTCATTCGAAAGGGTAACAAGACTATTCTTTTGAGTTCAGGTTTAAGAAGCAAAAGATTGAGCTAAAAAGCCTATAGCGATAAATGACATCAAACCAATTTTTTTCCCAAAGCAAAGATGAACATTAAAAAATTTAACAAAGAAGTTTCACAACAGCCTTCAATTATTAAATTATGATAAAAGTACTTATATACATGTTTCCATAAAGCTATTCACATTTATTAAACAGCCATTTATTAGTGTCAGATTATGATCTACTGGATCTTAAAATCAATATAGTCTATACCCAAAAGTTCACATCAAGAATTAAATAATGGTTGGATTTTTAATACCTTAAAATGAACCCTAAGATCAGATCCCCTTGCCTTGCAGGCTGCACGTAACCAACAATTAACACCACCGGTTAACCAAAAGATTGGGATTCAAAAAATAAAGGGAAATTATCAAGATGAAAGTAACAAGTGGGTGCTTACACTTGGTGGGATTATCAGACTCCTTCGAATACTTTACATGAAAAATAATTCAAACAAACTAAATTTGATTCTATTCTAGTAAATATCATTTCCAAAGAAGGGTCCTACTTTAAACTATGAATTGAATGAAAAAAGCGATTGAAGTAAAATGAGTACCATTGTGCCGGGTTTGGTGGTTGTTTTTGCTACCTCATTTCTTTTGGGATCTGTCTACATATGAAGTTTCCTGTTTTTAGGGTTTTAAGGGGCGTCCTTTTTATGCAATTTAGTGGTTTAGGAAAGATCGTCATAGGAGAATAATTTTTTCTAAAATTACATTCTCACGTTTGGTTTACGAAAAAAATTATTATCAGGTAATAACATATCATCAATGTAACATTTTTTATTAAGATGGTGAGAATATCATTACCTCTAAATTCTTAGCTGATGAACAATTTCAGCACTTTAATACCCTTAAAATAATATATTTTTTATGAATCCTTCTTAATTCTTATTCTTCGTGTTTTACTCAAAACTACTACTACTACTAATAATAATAATAATAATAATATACAAAGAGTTTAATTTAATAAAATATTAATAAATTTGACTAGTTAAACTTGTTAAAAAAAGAGTGAATTTCATAATGAATTTAATATTTAAACTAAATTCATATTACTTTTAATTATTATTAAAAAATATTTTAATTTGAATATAGGAAGATAATCACTCTTTGAATATGACAAATTAAAAGGTATTTATTATCTATTTAACTTTGAATATTAAAGATAATTATATACTTTTAAATATTTTAAATTAAAATAATATCTTTTTAATTTTGAATAGTAAAGGTATTTGTATCTTTTAAATATTTCAATAAAAGATATTATTATATGTTTAAATTTGAATATTAAAAGATATCTTATTAGAGTAAATCTATATTGGAAATGCCCTATAAATAATAAATATTGAGTTAACATGTCAGGCTAAACACAAGTTTCAATAAGTTTAGAAGTTTTCTCTATTAGTTTTCCGATGATAGGCGAAGGCAATGATAGTTCGTGATCTCTGTAGTTGTGTTACTGTAGCTGATCATATAGTTGTTGTATCCTTGGAAACAGACGATCAACAAACTCGAGCACCAAGGGAGTGGCCAAAAATATGTCTTAAGAAAACTGTGTAGCGACATACCTCAGTTATTTTAGATCGATAGATCAATAAAAGGAGTATTTTTATTTCCATTTATTTTTGTTATTTTTTAAGAAGTTTTAATTTCTTCTATTCTATTTTCTCAGGTTCGATTTTGTCTTGGATTGTTTTTTTGGTTAACAATATTAAGATAGAGTAAACTCGTTCTTTCTCTTTGATTTTATAATGATATTTCAATCATTATTGATTTTCTATATTATTCTCGGATTAACATGATTTTTCTAACAATCTTAAAACATATTTTATTCTTATTTTTCCGAGATGATATGAAATTCGTTTGAGTTTAATCTTTTTTGTGTACAAGAGGAAGCACCAAAAATTCGGTAAAACAAATATTGAATGAAAATTAAGAGGAATTATGCCAACGATAAGTATTCTTCAATTTTGAATTTATGAATTTCAAATTCTTTGTGAAAATAATTTTGAGTTTAATTTTAATATGAGACATGGTTCTACTAGTTTCTCTGCATGGATTTAAATAATTAGATTCCAAAATTTTAGCAAGATCTTTGTTGTTGCATTCTTTGTGGGGCACACATTGAATCTTGACGGTTTAAGTTTTTCTATTAAAGATGGTGAAGTTAATAAATATGATAAGGAAATCGATCAGGTAGGCAAAATTTTATTATTTCCCTTTAATCCGAGATGATTTAAAACTCTTTCTTCTACCTTTCTTTAATTCGATACAATTCGAATATCGTGGAAAAAATGAGATAGTAAATAAAATTATTTCGGGATTTATCCTGTCGTTTTAATGGGTTTACTAAGATCTTAAAATGGACAAATATGTTTAACAGAAATTATCTTGAAAGTAACTTTGGTTACTGATTTTGTTTCAGAACATTGATTCTGTTCGATAACAAAATAAAAAATAAACGAGAATTAATTTTATGCTTATTAGAATTTTTGGTTTCGTATTTGAAATCAATTGAGATTTTAATTCTCTTGCTTAACAAAATTATTTGATTACTATTTATAATAGAAATCGTATGAAAGTAACGGCTTTGGTACTGACTAGTTTCTAACTAAATTTTGTTGACAAAATAAACCAGAATTTATTTTTCGATTTATTGTTGGAATTAATATCAATTCTAATTTCTTATGTTAAATGAAATCATGATTATTGGTGGTCATGAGCCAAAATGAGAAACTTATAAATTCTATGTGACAAATAATATCAAATTTTACGTTATTTAAATTTTATTTTTAGAAAAAGTATCATTATTTAATAATAAAGTTGATATTTCTAAAATTAATAATAGCTCGAGAAAATGGAGGTGGATTTTTTCCATGCAGGTCGAACTATGTTCAAATCTTGGAGTCATAATACCACCCGTGACTAGAGCAAGATTGCTCTCAAACAGCAAAACCAATGAAAACACCATTAGAATGGACAAAGGAGTGGGTAGGGGAGTTGTTCCTGTAAAAAATTTAAATTATTATATTTAAAAAAAATTAATATTTTTATTGAAAATTTATTTTTTGTTTTAACATTTTATAATTTTATCAATTTCTAAAATTTTAAAAGTTTGTTCTTTAATATAAAATCATACTTATTCCTGAACGCATGTATACCACAAAATAATGATCATTAATATAATTTAATTTGAGCTAATGATCTAGATTTTTTGTACTCTAGGATGGGGGCAGCGCCGCACCATAGGGCGAAAAGAGAAGAAATTCGACATTTTTTTAATAGAAGTTGTTAGTCTTATTAAAAAGTAAAAATATCCAAAATTATAATAAGGGTTTACAATTATCATCGTAAATTAAATACATAATTTGGACATTTTCATAATATTAAAACTAATCGCTTTAGATCATATAAGGATCATACATGAAAATGAGTACAAATTCAACCAAAAGACTCGAACGAAAAATAGACATATGAACAAATCTGGCTGCATAAAAAACGAATCACAAGAGTGGTTTAAGCTATCGAAAGACCACTGAGAATCACAAATCAAAGCCAAGTGAGAAACTATTCACGATTCACGAATGCAAAATCGTATATCCAAATTCAACCTGAGGGTTCATAACAGAGAAGATCAAAATGATTTCAAATAAGCGTCATCTTGATCAATTATGACATCATCAAATCTAACCTTGAGAAAACATAAAATAAAAAATAACCAAACGACCGAGAAAAAAATAAAAAATGTACGACAAAGGTAGAGAAAAAAGTAACAAAAAGATAGAATTATTGTTATTAAAAAACAAAAAAGAAACAAAGAATAAAGGAACTGATGGTCGACAACTAGAATCAAAATTAGTACCGTTATTAGTTAGATAGAGTAAAAAGAATGGACCTAATTTATAGAAAACAACACAGACTTCAAAGGGGGGAAAAGAAAAGAAAAGGGAGAAAGCTGCTAGAAGAAATTCGACACTTACCCAAAATGAAAAGGGAAAAATAAGGAAGCAAGGGAATCTGTCATTGGAGAAAAGCACAACCCTAAAGCTTGGCAACCAGAACATGTGAAGATGAAAACGAAGCCACATAAATTATAGGAATATTATTGAATGGGCATAGCATTTAATTAATTAAGTTGATATAAGAAAATCTATGTATTTATTTTCATGATTTGGATATTTTATTGAATTACAATTTTCTCATGATATATTTTAACATCGTATGCTTAGGTTATATATATATATATATATATATATATATATATATATCGTCTATAAGTTCATGAACTTTTTAAAATAATCTAGAGTGATCATAAAATATATATTTAAAAAATAATCATTAACAATTACAGACACGATTGCATGATTCAAGTCCTCTAAGAAGCATAACATTCTCTTTTACCACTAAATCGTCCAATATATTGTTAAGTTAAAGAATTTCAAATTTAAAATAAAAAAGTAAATATAATTTATTTTGTATTTATATAACTTTTAACATATTAATGATCTGCATCATTTGAATTTTGATCCGTTTGTATTTTTATGTGTTTGTTGATATATTTTTTATATTAATTTTGATATATTTTTTATATTAATATTGAAATGGTTATATTACCAATACTTTGAATTATTATTAATATTTTTATAACAATATTTTTTATCTATTTATATTTTTATATATTTTTAAATATGTAATTTAAAATTTTATTTTAAAAGATTAAACTCATGTTCAATAAAATTCATGTATACATTTTCTACCATTCTATTAATAATCGCGGTTACTAAAATTTACAAAATAGATTTTTTAAATATTCGATTATTTTACCAACCATCATGAGGTGAAATCTTTTATATGTTTTTCAGTTCAACTTTAGATGGACCGAAGGGGTTAGTGAATACAATTGTCTCCTGAAAAATTTAAAATTTTATATGTTTTTATTGATAATCTATTATTACACCG